CGAGAGGACAAACAACGCAACTAGGACATACTGACTACCAACAACAGTCGGCTAGTCAAGACACCGGAACATCGACATTCACAAACGCAACTGCAAGACGCAGTGACCACCCACGATCAACACAATCTTCCAACACAGGAGACAGACAACAACAGCCAATGCAGTCTGATCTGCAGCAACGCCAACAAAGACGTATTGAACAGCAGGGATGCGCAGGTTCCGCCAACACAAGACACGGCCGCGAGCAATCAATGCAGTCCGACTTGCAGCAATACCAACAACAAAGTGATGGACCACAGTTCTGCACAGATTCCGACAATGCCGGGGTTGACCACGGGCAATCAATGCAGTCCGACCTGCAGCACTTCCAACAACATAGCGATGGACCACAGTTATGCACAGATTCCAACAACGTCGGGGATGACCACGAACTATCAATGCAGTCCGATTTGCAGCGACACGACTTGCGAGGCGGAGAATATAGAGGTCGATTCCGAGGAGGAGTTCTAGTAGAACAAGCAACACCAACCGAACCCGTCGTCTGGCCATTACGAATTCTGCAGTGGAACATACAAGGTCTTGGAAATAAAAAACACACACTTCAGGAGGCTGCAATCAGCACGAAAGCAGATATCATCGTTTTTGAAGAAACTCTTTTCCCGGCCACGAAATCCTTCAGATTAGCTGGATATCAGCACTATGTTCTCTCGTATGAGCAGGGGAGACTAAGAGGATTAATGACCCTAGTCAGAAACACCATACCCAGCAAGAAAATAGACTCAGTTTCATGTGGGGATGGAGTAGAGGTATTAGCAGTTACAGTGAATATGGCTAATTTTGAGCTCCTCATATACAACGTCTACAAGCCCCCTAGACGTAAACTAGAAGCAGAGGCAGTGCTTGCCTTGGCCACGCAGGAAAATTTAATTATTGCTGGAGATTTTAATGCTCATCATCCAGAGTTAGGTGCAACTGGGCCAGCCAATGCAGATGGGCGCCATTTAGCTGCATCTCTGCGAGAAGTACCTGAAATTACACTTCTCAACACTGGGGAACCCACTCACATTCTAGGAGGTTCCCTTGATCTTACATTCATCTCAACAGCACTCCAGCAACAGGCGAAGTGAGAAGTGGACCCGGTGATCACTAGTGACCACTATGCTACTGTCACGACACTCAACCTGGCACGACCTCCTACACCACCTGCGCAGCCTCGGTGGAATTTAGGAAAGGCCAATTGGAATGTATACCTGGAAGAACTTGAAAAATGGTATGCAACGTACACGCCACCTGAGGATTTGAACATTCACGAGACCAATCTGCAGGAAGCCGTTGCAGCTGCTGCGAACAAAGCTATTCCAATCATTATCACAGGTAACACGAAACGAAAGAACTATTGGTTCTATAGTAATGACGTTAAAGAACAGAACCACAGAGTCAATATCTTCAGAAAACATCTAAAGAGAAACCCCACACCGGAAGGTAGAACTCTGCTACGAGCGGTGATATCTGAAGCAAGGCGAGTTTCTAGAGAAGTAAAGGAGGCAACATGGTTTGAGTGGTGTCAAACTCTAAATGAACATAGTAGTCTTGGCAAGATATGGGGTCAGATTAAAACTATATCAGGTCGACCAGCCCGGCCACAGGCATGTATTCAACCATTGCAGGAGGCTGAGAGACGTGCTCTCCAATTTGCAGAAAGAACAGCTTCATATCAGCTTCCTGCAATGGTCCGAAGGCAGCAAGAACACTTAAAACAAGAGAGGATGACAGTCATTCATGAGGGCATAGCTATAAATGACGAATGTGACTGTCCCTTCACCGAACAGGAACTAAGCAGAGCCAAAAAAGGTGGTAAGGACACTGCACCAGGTGCTGATAACATTACATACTCAATGATCGCACATGCAGGTCCTGCTGGAGACCGAGGGATATTGGACGTCATCAATGCGTCTTGGCAGCAAGGCAAACTACCGCCCTCTTGGAAGAAGGCAGACATCATCCCGATTCCTAAGCCGAATGAACCTGGCAATTACAGACCCATTTCATTAACATCATGCGTTAGTAAAACTGCAGAACGGATGGTCTTAAATAGGCTACTGTGGAAGACTGGAGACCTTCATAAACACATATTTGGCTTCACTAGAGGAGTAGGTACTGCAAACTGCATAGCAACATTACTAGGAACAGTTAACTCGGGTCCAGCTATAGTGGTCTTCCTTGATCTGGAAAAAGCGTTTGAACTTGCAAGCCCGCCAGCAATACTACACACCTTAGTTAAAAAAGGTGTGAAGGGGAAAATGCTAGCATGGATTCAAGATTACCTAAGTCACAGGTATGCCAGAGTAAAGTTGCAAGGACAAGTGTCGGACTACCACTTGCACGAGAATGGGACTGCACAAGGAGGGGTCCTCAGTCCTAGTCTTTTTAACTTCCTTATGGAAAACCTTGTTACCATGTCCTTTACAGAAGGGGTTACATTGCTAAGCTATGCTGATGATCTAGCATTAGTCATTACGGGTCCTTCACTTCTCAATAAAGCTCAAGGTGCTTTAGATCAAGTGGCATCTGAATGCAGTGTTTTAGGGCTAAAAATATCTGCACAGAAGTCTAAGGCGATGAGACTAGGTGGCAAGGCTCCAGACAGGCACCTACGCATTCAGGACATTAACCTTCAGTGGGTTACACAATATCGATATCTCGGAGTGTGGATTGATTTTAAACTGACATTCCATAAGCAAATTCAATATCTAAAGGAGAAAGCAAAGTCACGAATAAATATAATGAGAGCAATCACAGGGCCCCGTCTAGGAGCGGGACACAGAGTGTTGAGAATGTTTTACATACACGCCGTTCGTTCCCTGGTTGATTATGCAGCACCTGCCTTACTCACTCTTTCTCCTGGTCAGTGGGCAAACGTTGAGGTTCTTCAAAATGATGCATTGCGGGTCATAACAGGTGCTCCCAGATGGACTAAAATCCTGAACCTCAGACTAGAGACAAAGCTAACGTCGATTGAAATAAGGGTAAAGGGGATTGCTGCGTGCATGCTGACCAAGATATTGACTAGACCTAGAATCAGTTCACTTAAAGATATGATCACTGGAGCACTAACTCTGGACAGAAGAGCCTCCAATGGCAACAGGTGGACCCATTGTGCGATAAACGCCATCGATACATTCGATATGGCAAACACAGTCACTGAGAGGGGTGTCGACGACATACATGCAGACTTTGTTATGCAAGCCCCTTGGGAATCCCTGCCAGCAGACTTTCAGATTATGGCTCTTGACGGGAAGAAGAACCAGACACATCCTCATCTGCTCCGTCACTTTGCACAGATGCATATAGAAGCAAACATGGCATCCGACAGCTTCACTTACTTCACGGATAGGTCAGTAGACCAGCAGGGACAAGAAACCGGAGCTGCAGTTAAAGCAGGAAACTCTGTATATAGTTGGAGGCTCTCAAATGGGTGTTCGACTTTACAGACTGAGATGCTAGCCATTCAAAAGGCTTTGGAACATGCTCTTGCTGAACACCGTCACCATGTTCTCATCCATACAGATTCGAGAACCGCCATTGAAACCTTGCAACAGGAACACATATGTGATAACATCCATCTGATCACCAATGTCTTATCATTCATGCACACACTCAAACGACAAGGCCGACGGGTACTTATCAACTGGGTGCCAAGTCATGTGGGACTATTAGGTAATGACATTGCAGACGAGGCTGCAAAACTTGCTACTAAGAGGAGGAATGTAGACATTTACATACCACAGAGTCTCTCCCAGATGAAGAAAGTGATTCGAAACAGAGCAATGCGAAGGCTGTACAGTGACCACAACACAGCAGTTGCAACATCAGGATCTGCGGGTTGGTACAAGACTTCAACCAACTACGAACCACTTAGTTTGATGAACGGGGGCAGTAGAACAACAGAAGTGCACTTACATCGCATCAGGCTTGGATACCCATGTGCATGGGAAATAGGCTTACGGGTTCCGGAAGGTGAGAGGAAATGTCAACACTGTGGAGAAATGCCCGACAGACCACTGGAACATTATCTAACACAGTGCACAGTTACAAACCCATTAAGATTTCACCTTCGATTCGACAGAGCAGAGGAAGTTGTTAAACACATATGGCAAAATCTTACTGAAGCGACCATACGGGTCATACATACTCATCCTCCGCCCAGGTAAAACAGAACCAAGCATCACTTAGTGGGCCAGCCAGAGGCTTAGGGCCCGCGCAGGATTATCCCTGCTAAAAAGAAAAAAAAAAAAGAAAAAAAAAAAAAAAAGCTGTCACGGGCTGCTTCCTGGGGGTGGAGGCCTGGTCGAGGACCGGGCCGCGGGGACACTAAAAGCCCCGAAATCATCTCAAGATAACCTCAAGAAAGCAACAACATATCTATAAAAATCTTTGTGTTCTCTGTGACATACATCAACAACAAAGTAAACTTCAAGAGTATTTAAACCGCTGTAAGATACTTCACACGAGATGTGTCCTACGTGTACCTTTGTTTACATCGTCGTACCTGTAACATAATCAAGACAGGTGTTTTGGTTCATAATTAAGTCTTAACATTAACATATAACACAGTTCCTTCTGACGGTCGCCCTAAGTATGGGGTGTAAGTTATTACATAAATGGTTCTTTCCTCTAGTTTCTCTGATGCGTAACTGAGGCGGCCAAGTCTTTGATTAAACGTTATATTTGTTTGAGGCTTCGATGTCTGGGGCCAGATTCACGAAAGCACTTACGCAAGCACTTACGAACGTGTACATCTTTCCTCGATCTTTGACGGCTTTGGTTACATTTATTAAACAGTTTACAAGCATGAAAACTTGCCAATCAACTGTTGTTATTGTTATAAACAGCCTCCTGGTGCTTCCGAGCTCATTAACTGTTTAATAATTGGAAACAAAGCCGCCAAAGATTGAGAAAAGATGTACACGTTCGTAAGTGCTTGCGTAAGTGCTTTCGTGAATCTGGCCCCTGGAATCGTAGTGATCGACACGGCCATCTAGTGGCCAGCAGCAAAGTTACTCTTGTACACCAACATTGGCACCTTTGATACATTATTACGTAATTTTTTATTATTTGGGCGAAATGTAAGTATTATTTCTTGCGGTAATTTCGACTCTTACTGCTGGAGTTGGCTACGGGTACTATGCGATAGGCTTGTAATGTGCTGGAACTACCCCCATAGAGTAGATGCTTGGTGCTTCAGTTGAAGCACTTGGTGAGTCATCAGAGTGCTAGTGGTGCCCACTCCGGCAGCCTGGCACTGCACAAGGGCCACCACTGAAGTAGGTCGGCGCTGGCACTTGACTAGAACCACTCGACGAAGAAGACGCACCAGTAGATGATGTTGAGAACGGTGAAGGAGGTGGGGAAGAGAATGCGAGACACACGGTCGATCAGGATAGCTCGCTCCCTCCTCCTTCGCTGGTTCTGTCGGCGAGAAGAAGACCCAAGTCAGCACACACGAACACAGAGACATCCAAGTCAGCACACACGAACACAGGCACACCCAAGTCAGCACACACGAACACAGACACACCTATGTCAGCACACACGAACACAGACACATCCAAGTCAGCACACACGAACACAGGCACATCCAAGTCAGCAGACACGAACACAGACACATCTAAGTCTGCAGACACGAACACAGACACATCTAAGTCAGCACACACGAACACAGACACATCCAAGTCAGCACACACGAACACAGACACATCCAAGTCAGCACACACGAACACAGACACACCTATGTCAGCACACACGAACACAGACACATCTAAGTCAGCACACACGAACACAGACACACCTATGTCAGCACACACGAACACAGACACAACCAAGTCAGCACACACGAACACAGACACAACCAAGTCAGCACACACGAACACAGACACAACCAAGTCAGCAGACACAAAAACAGATACATCCAAGACAGCAGACAGGGACTGTGTAACCTAGCAAAGTAACTAAATACAAGGGCGTACAGAAACTATGGAAATAACAGGACTCTTGAGAGCAGAGAAGGTACCAGAGAGCCAGGAATGAATATGTCAGGGTGAGAAGAGAGGCAGAAGGGCAATATGAAAATGACATAGGGAGCAAGGCAAAGACTCAACCCAAATTGCTGCACAGCCACATCAGGAGAAAAACAACATTGAAGGAACAGGTAATGCAGCTGAGGATAGGGGCAGATAGATTCACTGCAAACGACAAGGAAGTGTGTGAGGCACTCAATGAGAAATTCCAGGAGATCTTCACAATAGAGCAAGGAAAAGTCCCAGAGATAAAAGAGGGAATATCTAACCAAACACCACTAGAGGAGTTTGGGTTTACCAGTGGGGATGCAAGGAAGCTTTTGCTAGAGTTGGATGTGACAAAGGCTGTATGCCCGGATGGAATCTCACCATGGATACTGAAGGAAGGAGCAGAAGCTCTGTGCCTGCCACTCTCCATGGTGTATACAAAATCACTGGTAACAGGTGAACTGCCAAAAGTTTGGTAGACGGCTAATGTAGTCCCGATATACAAGAAGGGTGATTGGCAGGAGGCACTGGACTACAGGCCAGTGTCCCTTACGTTCATACCATGCAAGATGGCGGAGAAGATTGAGCAAAAAAAAAAGAGCTAGTGGAACATCTAGAACGGAATAACTTTGTAACACAACAGCAGCATTGGTTTAGGGATGACAAATCATGCCTCACAGTATTAATTGAATTGTACGACCAGGCAACACAAATCAGGCAAGAAAGAGAAGGGCGGCAGACTGCATATTTTTGAATTGCCAGAAAGCCTTTGACACAGTACCACATAAGAGACTAGTGCAAAAGTTGGAGATGCAGGCAGGAGTGAAAGGGAAGGTACTCCACTGGATAAGGGAGTACCTAAGCAACAGATGACAGCGAGTCACTATGAGGTGGGGGGGGGGGGAAGTTCTTGGAGTGGCGAGCCTTCACCAGTGGAGTCCCGCAGGGATCAGTCCTTGGGCCTATACTGTTTCTGATATACGTAAATGATCTCCCAGATGGAATAGATTCTTTCCTCTCAATGTTTGCTGATGATTCAAAAATTATGAGGAGGATTAAGTCAGAGGAAGATAGTATGAGGCTACAAGATGACCTAGACAAACTGAACGAATGGTCCAACAAATGGCTACTAAAGTTCAACCTAAGTAAATGTAAGGTAATAGAACTAGGGGAAGGAAATTAGGAGGCCAGACACAGGATACCGAATGAGAGATGAAGTCCTTCACGAAACGGAAAGAGAAAAAGATCTTGAAGTTGATATCACACCAAACCTGTCTCATGAAGCACACATAAAAATAATAACATCAGCAGCATATGCGAGGCTGTCTAACATCATTCAGAACCTTGTATACCACATATGTAAGACCAATCCTGGAGTATGCGGCCCCAGCATGGAGCCCGAACCTTATCAAGCACAAGACGAAACTGGAAAAAGTTCAGAGGTATGTCACTGGGCAAGTCCCAGAACTAAGAGGCATGAGTTAAAAGGAAAGGCTGCGTGAACTACACCTCACGTCGCTGGTAGACAGAAGAGCTCGGGGAGACATGATCACCATATACAAAATTCTCAGGGGAATTGACAAGGTAGGCATGGATGAATTATTTAACACGGGTGGTACACGCACGAAGGGACACAGGTGGAAGCTGAGTACCCAAATGAGTCACAGAGACATTAGAAAGACCCTATTCAGTGTCAGGGTAGTTAGTATAAATGGACTGCATTAGGCAGTGATGTGGTGGAGGTTGACTCCATACACAGTTTCATATATAGATATGATAGAGCTTGAAAAGCTCAGGAATCTGTACACCAGTTGATTGACGGTTGAGCGGCCGGACCAAAGTTCAAACCCCAGCAAGCACAACTAGGCGAGTACAACTAGGTAAGTACACACGAACACAGTCACGTGTAAGTCAGCAAACACAAAAACAGACCCATCTAAGGAAGCAGACAACAAAAAACAGACACTTCCAAGTCAGCAGACAGAAAACAGACCCATCTAATGCATCAGACAAAAGAGCAGACCCATCTAAGTCAGCAGACACAAAAACAGACCCATCAAAAGTAGCAGACCCTAAAACAGACCCATTCAAGGCAGCAGACACAAACACAGACAGATCCAAGGCAGCAGACACAAACACAGAGAGATCCAAGGCAGCAGACACAAACACAGAGAGATCCAAGGCAGCAGACACAAACACAGACAGATCCAAGGCAGCAGGCACAAACACAGACAGATCCAAGGCAGCAGATACACACACAGACACATCCAAGGCAGCAGACACATACAGATCCAAGGCAGCAGACACAAACACATACAGATCCAAGGCAGCAGACACAAACACAGACACATCCAAGGCAGCAGACACATACAGATCCAAGGCAGCAGACACAAACACAGACACATCCAAGGCAGCAGACACATACAGATCCAAGGCAGCAGACACAAA